GACGCCCAAACAATGTCCTTGTAGTCTCTACTGCGGATACGAATCGATTGCGCTAGTGTATCAGTCGTATACGAAGGTCATCCCTGGCGGTCGTTTTACGGGGTAGGCCGCTTCGAGGACGATCGGATGTTGGTTTAAACGACTTACCAACTGGCAAACTGTCTTAACACTGCAACCAAAATGCCGTGCAACTCGACGGCGAGACTCCCCAGCCTGGATCATGCCTACAGCCCTTTCTCTCTGTACTTGTGACAGCCAGAGCATAATGATAAAGTTGATAGATAGCAAGATTCGGTGATTTCTAAGTCCTAAGGATCTAAGGAACAGTTGTCAGTTTGAATTTTTATGAAATTCAAGCGAAGATACAAGTTAGTCGCAGAAAACCTCGTGCAGCTCTTTCGCTAATACAGACTTTCACGCTTGGATTTTGTAATGTGAAACTTTACCATTTTCTAATATTGCACAAACGTCATTTTGTTTTCACTCATTTACAGGTATTCGCCAAGGAAACATGTTAACCTTTCTTTTTTTGTTGAGTATATATTAACTTCACAAATGAGGTCAATACCTATTTATACTAGATTAAAAATGTGTGAGTACGTGGAGTGTTCAGGGTAAAGTGGGGAACAACATAAGGCCAGTGTTGACCAGTCAATTAAAGTGTTAGGTAATATTAACAATAATTCACCACATTAACAAAATTATTTAAATATTTTGCATATATTTATTTAGATTTTTGGATTTCAGTTGTGTACAGGTCCTATTCATCTATTGTTACAACGCTGTCTACTATTGCTCTGCAAGCTAATGGTAGCTAAGTAGCTGAATAAAAATACCTCAGTGATGCTAAACAGCAGCATTGTTAGATGTTGATACAGTTGTAAGTAAAATTAGTCAAGCCCTGCAAAAACGGAATCTCCAGTTCATTTAAATCAAACCGTTGTTTGTTGTTAACTCAGCTGCTGTTCAAAATGTGGTTTGAAAATGCCGGGGAATTTGAAAAGTAGAAGTTGTCAGTAATTTTGATGAGTGTGCTACAGAAAGACAAATGTGCACAGTTGAAAGGTGTAGAATTGAGAAATTAAAATGAATACGTTAAAAAGCAAGCTAAAAGACAAAGAAAAGAAATATATTCACCGAATGGTTGAAAATATTTATGAAAGACTTTCAAAAATTCACCTGACCGAATTGCTGAATTTTGTTTGATCTTTGCACCTGGATATAATAATGATGAACTTTTCGATGGCACAGTGCGTACTCTTACAGATGGCTGAAGGAAAAGAAGACACAGAAAAAGGAAAATGGGAATTGAGTTTGGCAAAGGCAATGATTAAACAGAAATATTCAAAACTGAAAACTTATCCTTTTGTGTTAAAGGATTGTAAATGTAAATTTCCTTCCAAACTTCATGGTATTGTTTAGTGTAACCTTGGTTTTGTGTGACACAAGTGTGAGAAAGGGCTTGAAGCCATCACAACATAGTGAAATCTAGATATCGCTGATCATTTAAGGCATCAACAATCAACCTTTTTGGAATTTGCCTGTACCTGTACAAATGGCGAAAAAGAAAACACAGATATTCAATATTGGAAATGAAGTAAATCACAAGCAAAGTACACTCAACCCAAAAACAAACAAGCAACTAAATTATGGAATAAATGGACTATGATATTGTGGGAAATTTGGACAATATTTTATATCAATGTGAAGGGACAGGTCTAAATGCCAACGTGGAAAATTAATGTGACTGAACTAGAGTATCGCTGAAATTATTTGTTTGAATAAATCCGGCTTGGCTTGAATACACCACGTGATTTGGACTAATAGAGGCTCACAAAGCCAGACAATGAAATGTCTGGCTTGAATGAATGTAGGATAGATTGTCGAAAAGGAAGATAATACTTGATCTAATCCTTGACTAACTATTCCATTATTTCCTTACAGCGAAAGTGTACTGCAGGTGGGAACGTTGTGTTTTTCCTTTTTTTTTGTTGAGTATAAAGATAAATCTACCCAGGTAAAAATATCCCTTTTCACACTTGACAGAACCACTTATAATATCCTACATTTTGTATTCAGGGCAGATTCCAAATAAACAATTGAGAACCATGTTTTGTTTAATTGAGTTGGATATTACTACTAAGATTTAGACTGAAATTAAACAACATAACGCCTGTCAGCATATATAATTCATGACTTGAAACTAATAAGCATCACAGTCAATTTGGAAAACTTTGGATCATTTCATACCTAGTTTTCATTGTAGTGAGTGAATTTAGTCAAATTTTATTAAATTTAATAAGGCCTGTAAACATAACATATATTTAGTAATTTTAAGAATGGTTTCCTTCATGAAAAGCAACAATAGTACAATTTCAATATATATTAATAACTCATGATGTAACTTGAAGTCTGAGGCTTGCAATCCCTCGCCCTCACTCCTTTTCCAAGCGCTCACTGTGTGTGTGTGATTTGTTATGTTTGTGTTTGTATTTATATGTGGGCTCATATGTGTAATGTGCATTCTTCATGATTGTGTGTTTAGAAGAATTGGATAAAAAATTAATTTAACAGAGATTTTCGAGAAGATATAGTATAAGAATACATCAAGGCTTGTTGTAAAAAGAACGTAGAAAACATGTCAGCACAGAATAAAAATGCAAACATTAATTCAATAAAACTAGGGGGAAATATGAACATGGATCATGCTGAAAAAAGATGAAGGAGAATAAGATCAGATGTTCCAGAAGAGAAAGCGTCTTCTTCTAACGGCATTCCCGTTAATCCAAGTATTTCACGTTTCCAAATTTGACAGGTTTAACTACGGAAGTCTTTGGAATAATATACTCGGTGATGCCGAGAGTGCTGCAGTCCGTGTACCTGTCAAATGTTTTATATCATTGTATGCCAGTTAAAATACTGAACATGCCACCATACATGCACTCTGCCGTCCCCAACACGTCAACATTAATCCCTACCCTGATCCATAGGTTGGCTTAAGGTTTCAGGTTACAGAAAGAATTATAATCTGCAAATAAAATTTCCCAATCCTGTGCTCCCAATTGCGTGTATCATTACACGAATATAAAGTTAAAATAGGTGTCACCCCAAAATAGATCCTTCAGTATAAGCTTTTATAGGGCTTTCGAAATTCATGTTTATTGACTCATTACCTCTATAATAACCGAAATACCATCATATATACCAAATATTTCGGACATCTACAAAATCACAAGGGTCAACAGTGATGTTTAATTCAATAACTTATGTGTCCTCCAATCTCATTTATCATATAGCATTTGTTAAGGCTTTAGATGTCATTAAACCATGTTGATAGGACGGTTACTTCACATTAACGTGATTTTTAAAATAAGTTGAACGAAATAAGCGTTAAGTCAATATAACTCCTTCGCTGTAATCAAAGAATTTAGAATGTGCTCATCAATCAATCAATATTGATCACTTTGAAACTTTGGCACATCTCATCAATTTTAACTCGTATCCACAACGAACATTTGCTTCAAACACTCGGCTCTAAACAGTTGCAGATATGACCTGGATTAAAGGTTTAATGTCATTTCGTTTTTATTTTATTTTTCAAAATAATTGTGAGGATTTGACCTAGAAAGTCTTTTCCACCTGATATTCTGCACCCGGATTTTTTGTTTATCAGAAGCATTTGACCCCTATGACCTGGAATAAGGTTTTTTGAATTTTTTTTAGACTTTGTCGGGATCCATCCCAGAGATCCATCCGCAAAATATCGTGCTTTTAGATCTTTTGATTAATCGGTATTTTTTTATTAAAAAAAATCAACACCTGTGACCTTGAATATGAATCAAGGTAATTTCTTTTCACAAATTTGTCCGATTTCATCATAGGAACTCGTCAGCCTAATGTCCCGTTTCTGGGCCTTTTGGTTGGTGAAAATAAGGAAAACAACGGTCATACCGCTTTCATATATTTTGTTTAATCTATATAGCATAATCAATATTTTCCCTTTACATACATGTAGTCTAAATCTGCCCTGCAACTACAGCTGATAAATGAATCGACCGATCGAAAACATCAATCATTAGATTAAAAATATATTGATCAAATCATGAACACATATATTAACAATTATGTGAAATGAAATCATTTTTTTAAATCACCCCATTTCAATTAATTATTTTGCGAGAAAAAATATTTGGTTGCTTCGGTTGTTTTTGTAGAGGTTTAGATGAGATAACATGTTAAATGTTTGTTATATATATGTTCATGCTGTACATATTCATGAATGATACAATTATTTTTAAGTTTATACTCAATAATGTAGCAAATGATGTGGTGTATAATCAGTCTTTAATATGGCCCGTTGCTAAGTAACAAGAAACACAGTCAATTAATAAAGGATATTCCCAATGTCGAAAAAACTGGAATATTATATTGTGTACGTTTTGTTGATTTTGGAAATAAAATTGCAAGATTTGATTGTAAAGCTGTCCAGGTAGTTTAAATGAACTGTACAACCTAATGTAAGACAAGTATTTTTCTAGTTGTGGAAATAAAAGTCCTGGACTTGTCAATCAATTTTATAGGTCTGTATATATCAGTTAAAAGAAATCGAAGATTTTCTTTCATCTCCTTTATTGGAGGAAAGTAACCCTGTCCGTAAAATTTTGTTTTTGTGTGCTATTGGTATCGGAAAGGAATCGTCTATTATTCTTATTTGAGCGACCAATCACCATAGCCGGCATGGGAGGGGCCTTATGATTGGCAATATACACAACAACAGTCCTTTTAGGAGTTAGTTATGTTGAATTTGACCACAATACCCTAGACGTTAGCACAGCTCTCTCTCTCTCTCTTTAAGAGTTAACGTTAGTAGACTATATACATAAACCGAACGGAGACATTCACAACAAAATTATCAAGTGAGGATTGTATTTTCAACTTTTTATAAGACTGACAGCAATATTTTCATCTTTCATAGGACAAACGTTGACGAAAATCACAATATGGCGTTGCATTCAAGATCAAGTCTCGGATTTCGTTATGAGGGTCTGCTGTATATACCTATTTTACTTTTAACTTTAATTGGAATTCCGGGGACCATTGTGTCTATGAGATTCTACGGGAAACGAATTCAGAAATCATCTTCCTCAACTGCATTATTCTTAACTTCTCTAGCCGTATTTGATATGCTGTCCTTGGTCTCGAACATTCCAACAGCAATATCGATATTTTACATGGACGAATGGAATGAAGGCAATAAAGAATCCATCACACGTTATTTTACCCGTATACCAAAATATTGGTCGAACTTAGTTCTGCTTTTGGCTGGGACTGAACGGCTTATAGCTGTTGCTTTACCACACAAAATGGCGACAATTTTCACTAGAAGAGTCGCCATTGTTAGTCTAATAGTTGTGATCATTATTGCACCTATGATTCTAGTGCCTTTGGCTTTAGATCCACCATTTGTCCTCGTTCCGACAAACGGCACCATTACGCATGTGCAAAGGAGTGTCAAAACATTCATTGACCCTGATGTGCTTAAAAGATTAATTCAAATGGTTTCCGTTTTGTATTTTGGACTTCCGCTTGTCGGTGTTTTTATTAGTAATATCTGCTTGGTCACCCTTTTATTCAATCGGTTCAACTCTAAACGCGGAAAGAGTGTAAGAGATACAATGACTTCAAAACAGGTTAAGGAATTACGTACAACCAAACTAGTGATTCTAGTAACTGTGATATTCATCGTTTGTATGTTACCCTTGGTGATTATGGTTCCAATAATATCGGTCGAGAGGGATGCAGTTTCTATACGGTTGATGCTGATAATGCGAGCTACATCTACGCTTCTGGAGACTCTGAACTATTCAATGAATGTTTATGTTTATTACTTCGGGAGCAACGACTTCCGTAAAGAGACACGTGGAATGTTGTCAAGTATGTGTGGCTGCTGCAAGAGGGCAACCGTAACTCCAATGGATGATTGATGAATTGGGTGCACTACGATGCGATATTCACAAATGTTACCCATGAATTGTAAGTGTTTCTTTCAAATATTTCGATGATAGAAGAACAGTTACGATGTGATAGTACCATATTTTCAGTTTGTGACAAGGTCAAATACTCATTACTGCTACTCTCGTAACTGGTATATTAGGTTCTTAAAAATGTTTGACAGGTTGCAGGTTTTTTATACCATGGAATGCCCGAACACATTTCCAAGTAAGGCTTTGACTAACTTTTTTTCCATTTCCTGAGGTATACAGTTGTGGTAACCCACAACGCAAAAATTTCGTGCGCATGTTGTGCATACATCGTACGCACACATGCACGACACAGTATCGTGTGCACAACTGTGTGATATGATTACACTTTTTGTACGTTTTGGTTAAAATGGTTGGCTATTATTAAGGATTGAATGATAAACGGAAAATTTGTGAAGTTATAACTAAATACCGATCACATGAACATTAAAATTGATCGGCGATTATAAAAGTCATTTTTAATTTGATATTTTTCGAAACAACACTGAACCTGCATTAATTTGTCTTCTCGTATATAGGTTCACACCTCAGAAAGTGGCGAGTAGTTGTTCTTCGGAAAACAAAAGTTTAACTGTACACGACTATATACGTGACGGGCCCGGATCCGTACCGGCTTGGTGGCCAATGTAACAAACACAACACTCAAGATTTACCAGATTATATTTTTTTGTTTACGAAATAAATGAAAAATGACAGTAATACAGAAGTAATGAAAACAGCATTTCCTTTCTGACGGTATAAGGTTTGAAATGATTCATTGCTGTGACATAAAGAGATGTCTATCTACACATATTGAGTATATAAAGTGTGTACGTACACCAAGGCTGGTCACGTGTGGCTCTAACTATTCAATATCTACAAGTGTCCAGCCTATATCTTAATGACTTAATTAGGAAACACACTTAGTTTATTTCAATAAATTTAAAGACTCAAGAAACCCTATCCTTATTTGTATTTACACTTATATTTATATCAACTACGATAGAACCATACAAATGTGCGATAGCTTCTTTCGTCCAATTTTCCTATCGTGCGCACATCGTATAACGTTGTGCGATCTAGCAACTGTATATATTAGGTAGTTAAAACTGACCATTGCGGGATGCCGGCATTAGGAGTTCTTTATACTATTTATGAGATAGACTTGTTGCCTTCAAGTACTGACATAGTTCCTATAATCGAGGAAGTGTGACGCACAGGAGATGATTGATAATGAAACAAGTTCTGCTAATTTATACTAATACACGGGGATGATCTGATATATGGCATTTCAATTCCATTCGGGGTTCGAGATAACTTTCTGAATGATAGGATATAAAACCTCTTGTTCAGATTGCGGGCTTTTTTGGAAAGGTTGATTGGAAAAAAGTGTGTTCAAAGTGAATTTTAAATTCTACTTTGATACCATTGGTCAATATTGTAATATATACATCATTTGATTAAATTAATTGAGAATGTCATTATTGGCCAAGATCTCCAAGTCAATAGAAAAGAAACAGCGCATTTATTTAAAATAGTACAACACATTTATCAAATAAACACCTATATGTATTCTACATAGTACATGTTCATACAAATGCGCACTTTCCAAAACAAATCATAATTGCACATAATATAATAAACAAATAAATAGTTTTCTTATTGGAAGGTATTTCAGTTCTATTTGAGATGTCTGCAATTCATTTTGTAACTTGATTGGTAATTAATGTAAATAGTTCAATGTTGTTTTGTATTTAATAAAATCGAAGTTACAATTTTTTCTGATCTTTGTGTAATTTTATCTCTAGGAAAAGTGTAATGTTACATCACTTATTCGATTTTCCTTCAAGTTGCACTTTAAATTCAAATGATAATTGGGCATTACTTTTCCAAGTGAAATTACATTCAAAATTTGTTTTTGACTTCAGTAGAGCCAAAACTAAGGATTAAACTGCATCCTTTAATCGTTTCGTCCTTCTTGAACTCGTCAGTGATGCTAAGAGCCTAAATCCTGAGGCCGAGGAGGCGACTGCGGAAAATCCTGTGATCGAAAGAAAAGTCAAAATCTAGACGAGGAGATGCAGCAGTCCCAAACTTTAATAATTTGTAATTTTCATACACCAGATTTTTAAGAACGTCGTCAAGTACATGTGTATATTCTGAACCATGCCACTATTCGAATAAATGATCAAGTTTTGGGCAGACAACCTACATTTTCTTTCCCTTGTTTTGGAGTTCTGAGAGCTGATTTTCGTTTAAATGGTTTGATGTTGCCACCAGTGCGCTAATTTTTTTTCAAAATTCCTAATTTGCCTGCTTTCACGCTAGCTCAAATGATTCTGGAAACTAAAGACACGGTCACATTCCACACTTGTTGGTGTAATACAGAATGCCAATTTACAAAGTAATGTAAAATTTGGAGACAAACAAGACTGATTTGAATACCCTTTTGCACACAACTGCTTTCATGCACTTTTTATATGCCCCCTTGATCATGTCTTTCAAGAAAGGCTTTTTCCCAGGTAATTTTTTTCTCATTTAATATAACTTTCATGCTTAATATTATTTTTCGACATCTACTTTATATACTTTATAATTCCCATAATTCATTCCTTAGCACTCAATGGCTTCCTGACTCAGAACCATTTTCTCATTTCTTTCACTCTGCTAGGCGCAAGTGCGTCACTATCGTTCAGTCTGTTTTTCACATTTTTTATCAAATTTCACCTTTCTGTCAACTGTCAATACTGTGAAATGCATCTTCCACCTTGTTTTGTTTTTATACATGGCTAAACATATCAAACACGTCTCAAAGTAAATATTGTAGATATTGATACCGTCTTGACCACGTCCATCGCATATTTCTACCATAACTTCTCGATTCTTATAACGAAACAAACAGACAACTTTCCACCCAGCAGTATGATAGGCCTGATGATTTTAATTTCCTTCTGAAGAAAATTTACCAATTTTTTCTACCAACATTCCTGTATCCTCAACCTTGGTGTTTACATGTCGCAGCTGATGCTATATTCAGGGTCTATAACGATTGTCGACAACAGTCAATGTCATCACACAAGGTTATCAAATTTAGTTTTATGGTCGTTATAGTGATCTCGTACATTGTGCAATATGGACGTATTTGATGCTCGTTAGTTTGCCCGTTGGTTTCTTTGTTTTGTACCTTGCTTTCGTTTGAGAACATGACATTATTTACTTGGTTAGTCCAGGATTTGCATAGCAGATATCGCCGATTAAGCAGAAGACATTTACTTCTTCAAGTACTCCTGGTCTTATTATACGCTGTAATCTGTGTAAATCATTATTTTGTTTATCTTCTATCCTTGTGTATTGAAATTTAATTTGGATTATCATTATGTTCACATTTGTATGGTCTTTTTGTTGTTCTTATTTCATAGAAGTTACATTATTCCGGTAAATTCAATTTAGCATTCATTAGACAGCAAAGTAATTCCTAAAGAAGATCCAAAAACATTTGGAACATGTGATGTCGTTCAATGGTAAAATAGCTAAATGCACCGGCGTTTATCATGCCTGTAACAGCCTTAAATGGTCAAGTTGATTAAATGTTTGATAGTAGAGAAACCAATCTGCATTTAGATCTACTTCAAACTCAATAACCTCGGAGTCGGAGAAGCAACATTGTTTAAGATAATGCGGTATCATTAAAAAGTTAATTATCCATTCCTGTTATCTGATTATTATTATCATCATTACATTCTTAACGGTCCGTCAACACATAAAAGTTCATTATGGCCATCAAACGGTAACACACACAGCGATCCAAAAGGAAATAATATTAAACAAACCAAAAGGTAAAAGACAAATGCTCAAAAAAAATCTTAAATGGGTATTTTAACACAAAATATTAAAATGGTACGTCATAGTCTATTATATAGACCAACGTCTTTCAGGTAATGTAGAATTTTACAAATCTCAACAGTTTCAAAAAGGGATTTTAGACATGTAATGTTACGATAAAAATGTTCTCGAGTAGACAGAAGGTCAATGCAGTCCAATAAAAAATGTTTAACGGTAAATGGCTCATCACATCCTATACATCGATGATTATCTTTGCCTTTCGACATATATGAATGTGTAAGGTATGTATGACCCATCCGAAGACGGGCTAGGACAACCTCGCCTTGATGGTTGTCTCTATAGCCTGGAGACCATTCACCGAAAACAGGTTTAGCGGATTGCAATTTGATTTTGGTATGTGTATTCCATTCCTCCTGCCACTAAGCTTAAAATTTGATAAATGGTTTTAAATCGGTATGGATCTGCGAGACCGTCATATCTCAAATTATTAGACACTGTTAATCACCAAGGTCTGAGGCTCGCTCTCGGAGCTTATAAGACCACACCTACAGCAAGCCTCTATGTGGAGGCTAACGAACTATCACTATATAGCCGTCGAAATCAATTGGAGTCCAATACAAAACACAGCGTAATTCGAATCCTTTATCACTTATATTTGAACCAAAATATAAAACCGTGTTTCAAAAAAAAACCAAAGACCATAATGAGCCATTCGCCATAAAATGTTTTTATTGAACTGCATTGACCTTCTGTCTACTCGAGAAATATCTGAAGACGCTCTTTGAAAATTCTAGGTTGATGTATATCATAGACTATGACTTACCATTTTAATCTTTTATGATAATATAACCATTGACAATTTTTAGCATTTGTCTCTTACGTTTTAGTTTGGTTGATGTTATTCCCTGTTTGGATCGCTGTATGCTTGACCGGTGAATGGCCGTAATGACGTTTTATGTGTTGACGTGCCGTTAAGATAGTAATAAATAAATAAATTTTACAATTGAAGAATGATTTGAATTACCGACGATCTAAATAATAAAGTAAATACAAAACACACGTAAACACAAGTACGCAACAACTTGACATGGTAGGTAATGCAACACAGGGACCTGCTTTTTTCATTTTTTTATTAGTTTACCTTACCGACATGTGTTGTTATTTAAGTAAAACCCCTCAATTACTGCAAAGAGAGTGACTTGATCGTGTCAGCTTCCTTGAAATATTGTAGAATAGATGTCTCAATTATTGTATTAAACACTGGATTATACTGCTGAACTGTTCCGGTTAATCATATATATAACAGTCAACCCTGTTGTAAAAGTACTACAAGTAGCGTTAAATCAATAAAAAAAAAATCGATATTTTCAAATCTTCAAACACCGTGATTTCAAGCATTTAAAAAGCAAAATTGGAACAGCAATCATGGCCACAGCTCCGGACAACTGAAATGCGAACGACCATGTCTCCGTAATGTCTCTGATTGCACCTGAAAAGAAAACGAAAAAACTAAGGACATTTACAAAGTTATCGCGAAAGTCCGATATCGGGATATACTGCTTTTAAACATTTTTATGCATTGTCATGATTAAGTGACAAGGTAACGAATATGGGTTTCAAAATGCTGCAGGCTGGTTTTCTCTAAGTTATATTAACTCAATGATAAAGAAAAGTTTCTGCTTACTTGTTGAAATAGGATTTAACAAAAATGCTATGGCAGATGACCAGCATACAAAGCCCCAGGCACTTGGAAGTCGTTCAAGGTCTGCGAATTCCAACGTGATAATCATCAGCGTTCCATTGAAACCACCGGCAAATAAACCATAACATCCCATGAAAACGCATAGATAAAGTTTTCTTCGTAAAAACGATGTAACAGTGATTCCGAATCCAAATAGCAAAATCATCATGGTAAACAATCCTTTCCGATGCGAAGGAAATATTTCTAAAACAAATCCAAATAAAATTCTTCCAATAAGATCTGTCAGTCCAAAAATAAGAAGTATAAATGCTCCATCTTCGTTCGGGAATCCAATTTCCTTCATGAACTGAGGGACAATATTAAACAGGCTATTGTATCCGAACATAGCGAAAAAAACAGCGAAAATTAAAAGGATGAAATCCAATTCCTTGAATAGTTTCCATTCTAAATCCTTCATGGAACGCCAAATTAGCATTGGAATCGTTGAAAACATCTCGCGTTTTATACCATCGGGTTTTGTGTTCTTCCCGATAGCTTGTTCTTGTTGTGCGAGTTTTTTTGGGTTTAGGGGACGTATCAGAAGTGCACATACACAGATGTTAAACATAACACCTCCATACACAAGTAATGCCCCTTGTAGTCCGTACTCTGTCAAAAGAAATCTAATAAAGTAGGGGAATACCATTCCTCCTAAACCGCCTCCGGCGAGAGATATCCCTGACGCGATTGATCGGTACTTACTGAAATACTGGGAAACAATGACGACAGCTGGTGAAAAGGTTATTCCATATCCCACACCTTGAAAAAGATCAAATATTCTAAAATAACTCAATACTATACTCAAGCAAAAACAGATGGATGGAATAAGGAAACACTTTTAGCGAAAATAGTATTTGAAGTGAAAACGTAAAAACAGTTTGTCTTAACTATTCTACACCTGTAGTAGTTCGCATAAAGACTTTAGTCCATGTTATTTAAGAGATGGATGATCTTGAATGACCGCACCAACACAAACTGATAATATTGCATTGTCTCGTTACTTACTTCAATATCAGAATGACATCATTACATCGACATTGTTCGGGTTGCGTTTTCAAATAGGCAGAAAAGGAAGTGACGGTAGTAGAAGGAAGAGAGCGAGACCATTGATGGTCAGCAACTGACTTTTTGTATGTATGACCTTTTGGCAGAACTCCTTAATAGGGCCGAAGAATCAAAATTGCAAGCACAACATTTTTCACCTACCTCGCCGTCAGCGTGTTGATTACTCCACAAAAATCATTCATAACTTATCTGACATGTTCACGTATCATGACGAACATTGAGATTTTGTGAGGCCTTTCTAACCTGTTCCTTTGTAAGTAGTAGGGGACGTGCATTTTTTTTCACAAATAATTATCAGACAGGAATGGTGTGCACGTGCATCTTGTTTCCAAATGGTAACAAATGGTGACGTCAATATTTTTGTCTATTTAATTGCTGAATTATCCATCGAAAGAAAATAAGACACTGCATTATTCATAACCGTTAACACTCCTTGAGTGTTTAGAATGTTTTTTTAACATCATCCTACATTATACTTCGGTGCAAATATTATTACATCGAGCCTCTTGGTTAATAAGAAATCGACAGTTCTTTGTCTTTAAGTCTGGCTATATCTCTTACCTATTATAATTCCTTACGTAAAATGAAACACACCAATTGAAGTAGCAAACGATGATAAAACTAACCCTGCACCAATCATTAAACCTCCCCAAAATATCAGCGTTCGGTGGGAATATCTTTTAGTTAAAGCGGCACTTACAGCACCTGGATTAAAAGGAACACATTTATAATCGAAATATTTTTTAATATGTGATGATATAGGAAATGTTTGAAATGATCTCAAGATTCCTTTAACAAGATAATACTTACCGAGAAACTGTTGTAAAAATCCTGCTAAGGATTGAGATATGGATAAAGCTTTGTTAGAGACTTGAAACTTTGTGGATAATTCGACATGGAGAATACCGAAAGACTTCGAGCTACCAACTAAAAACATCGATGTAAAAAATACACCTGGAATGAAAAAGAAAATGCTCAATAGGTTTGTTTCGACTTTGACAATGCAATCGTACAACAAATGAGGTCAGATTAAGCAATGGCATAATCTGAAATTTTTGAAAGCATCGAAATATTCTGCAGGCAATATTAGTGTAGAGTCAATCATCTGTGTTAGAGCCATCGGTATAGAGAAGTGTAAGTGGAATTGTAGCTTTCTTGTGTGCTTAAATAAACTTACAAAAGAATCATATACCAGAGCTTGTGTTACCAGGCCTTTGTCTATAAATGACCCTGCGTGATATTTGGTAAGAAGTAGCGATACATAGAAACCAATAATATGGCTTCAACGCCAGAATAGGGAGATACCCCAGGGGTATGTAGTTGTATCCGTTGAGTCTGTTAACATACCAAACGCCACTTCCGGCAACGGTTTTTACTCAGGCTAGCCAAATTGACTAGGTAATAACCCATTGGATTAAAATGACAATGACATACTGATATCTATGTATATTTACTCACTGATGAAATTTTAACAAGAATTGATTTTGTAAAATGCCGTAATGTTGTACCAGTATTTGATAGAAATTAAGAAATACTTAACTATTCGTCAATTAATTCTCATGATTGTTTTTTCGTTTATTTAATTAATGTCTACATTATTGTATGGTAGTTTGGTTAAGGGCTTAAACACAAGAGTATCGACTCGCGTTGTGTTCCAAGTCCAATATAGTCAAACAGGTAACACCCAGATATGCAAGCACATTACTACACCAGGTTCATTGTGCCTATGTCACAGAGTGAAATGAACACCGCAAAAGTAGTTTAACAATTTAATATGGATAACAATAGTGATGTTTACAATGAATTAAGAAATATACAGCTATCTGGTATAGGCATAAACTTTAGACAATCACAGATGGGTCAAGCGGAACACTTACATTAAAACCATTAACATGTAAATAATAGCAAACTGCCGTCTAGCTTATAAATATGGGATGGAATTCCAGCTTAGGTAGATAACACCAGTAAAACTATTAAACTTGTGTGTGTATAAATTTAGTTAGTGCCCAAGGAAAATAGCCACAGGAGTGTCCTCAAATAAAAATAACAACTCTGAAGTTTTACACCCGAATACTGGGTATAATGTTTTAAGTTTAGTGATTATTATTATCATTACATTCTTAACGGCCCGTGAACACATAAAAGGTCATTACGATCAAGGTTAACAAAGTATTAACATGTAAATATCAATATCTTTTAAAGTTGTTTCCGCTGGACATCTCAGGTTTGCGTATACGAAAGACCACCCGGTCCACACCTGTCCCTCTATCGTAAACTATCCTACTTAAATGCGACCAACCACTTTTCTCTGACAAGTACAGCTATAAACTTCAACCAAAATATCAAAGACAGAGCATTCTGCAAACTCGACGGTATAAGAAAAGTAATAGGAGCAAAGCAGCATCCCTTTGTCGGGACGGATTAGTGTTAGCGAGGAAACAAAGATGTTATACCGCTGACGAAGCAAAATAGAAATCGAAGTAGAATAGACCATCTCGCTGACGAAATGGAGAGGTAGGATTACCTGACTTGAAACCGTGATTAACGGTAGGCTGCCGACTACAGGAAGAGAGATCACACCCAAACATTACCGACTTTTATAGACCCAAAATAATCTCTAACCAGGAGGCTCAACCAACAAAATCCTGCATAGCGAACGCTTGGTCCCATCCGGAATAGACAACAAATCAATAAACGGTTAACATAACATGAGATAGACAAAAACACGGTATAGACTACTCTGTAAGAAAATACCGGAGCTTCCCCAATAACACACGGGGCTACGAAATGGAACATAGCGGTAACAAACTGTCCTAGCTAGCCTAGTGACTCAGTGTCACCGTATGCAAAGGTGTCACCGTATGCAAAGGTGAATATAACTATAAATATCGTACAGTAAAATCCGACTCTACCGCAGTATATTATGTGTTTTACCAGTTACCTGTCTAGACATACACACCTGTATCATCGCCATATGATTGTCATCACCATCGTACCATCACCAATACAGTGTCTGACATCAACTGCATCCTCAATGATTATGTACTTTTATCACCACTAACCTAACCCGCGAATTCCAAACCAAAGATTGAGAAAATATCATACTCTTCCATTGTCAGCTGCGAATGTCTATCAAAAGATTGACAAGAGACTGAAAGTGTTAGACGATGAATCGTTTTGTAACATCAATACAAAACTAGATGTAATCTAAACTTGGAGGGACCTGCTGAATACGGATAGGCAGAGATCGATCGATAACTATGAGGATCAAGGGCGTAGCAAATACCAAGGTCACAACGTATTGATGCCTACATTAAGGTAGATAATGCATTCATGCAGATTGAAATTTTATCATAAATAGATATCAACAAGCATTAACGTTGTTCGATACTTTTAAAATCTAGATCGATAGTTTTTATCATGATATAATAAATGATACATCAAAAAATAGTATTTAGGTACTGCTGATAATGGGAATATATATTGTTGTTGATAAGTGTCCTATGTTGCATATTGATGATAGATAGGTATATATTGGTGGCATATATGTTAATTATTGATGTAGCATATTAATGACTTTGATGATGAATACTGATCATAAATAATACAGATGTTGATGATTAATATTTTACATCTCTTAGATAAAGTTAAAGTGTGATAGGTTTTACAATAAATGATTCCAGACTTACTAACAAGGGTATGCTGGACGTGTATTAGAGATACTGGTCTAGCGCGGTCGTTTCAGGTGTCTCGATCATTAATTCCACTATAGACTACACCGCCATTGCCACGTTCGCAATCGCCACTATTGACATCGTCACTTTCAGCATCAAAATCAGTGCTATTCGTCATCGTCATGTTCGGCATTGTCCCCAGATGTTTTTGGTGATTAGTAAATGTTATTTGACAAATAAACAATTTACATAGAAAAAGATGTTTCAATTGGAATTGTAGCATATTACTCTCTGGTACCTCTCCAAACGCACATCTAAAAACATGGATTACATTCCAGCTCTGAAAAAATAATTGCCGTGACCACTTGGTGGACAACAAAGGTTATACGTGCCATTTGAAGTTATATATGTAATCACAACCTTGTGTAGTTTTCTATAAATGGCATCTCTTAGTAAGGATTCATGCGAGTAATTATTATGAACGGTGATCTCTAAGGATGGGTATCATGTTGTAGATTTGCTCTATTCAGAGAGTTGTTCCTTGAGCCAGAGATTGGCAGTGTTCTGACCCCCCGTAAGGACATGTACTGCCAAGCAAGCGTAAAACAGTAACCATATCCGTTCTTACCGAGAAGTATGACAACGATCATCCCGGAGAGCCAGGGAAACCGATGCAGATTCACATAAACGCCAGCGTAAGTCATTAAGACGAAATAAACCTAACCGTCCTCACATTACAATTTTTTTTACAATAGACGACTATGGAAAAAGAATAAAATGCACTTCATTAAACCTGTCATCGGTGTATGGTATCCATGCTATAGAGACAATCAGCGAGACGAAGTTGTCATTGTCTGTGGCTGTATGGGCCACATATACATTACGCATTCATGTCTTGAAAGATGATGAAAACCCTCGGGGCATTGACCTTCTGCATACTCGGAATTTGTTTTTTATCGTAGCGTTACAAGTCTTAAGTCTTTTGCACTAATATAATCATTTAAGAGTTTTAGCATTTGTTTTTTACCTTTTAGTTTGTTTGATGTTTTTTTTCCTTTTTGAATCGCTATGAGTTTCACCGATTGATGGCCCTAATGACCTTTTATGTGTTGACGGGTCGTTAAGATAGTTGTAATAATAAGAATGTTTATATTCCTTTGAAGTGTTCTATAAAATCCTGGAAGTATACAGCGTCATGCTCTGTTCCGATCCAGATTGCTGACTTTGAGAATGCACAAGACACCGACCTCGGAATTTCTCTCAGACGATGCTATTTTTATTGGGACAGTGACACTTGAGTAAAGGTTGGTGTATAGAAACCTTGATTTCACGAAATAAAAAAAATAATGAGACAGAAATGTACAAGAAGTAAACCGTTTATATAATGCAGTATTACCTGAATAGAAAGAAATCGTCATGAAGCTCATATTTGGTATACAGCATATTCAAAACGGGAGATGGTAACCTATATGTTTACTGTACTGGACAAACACATTTTCCACCTACCCGCAGACACACACGAAGCCTACGTCCATGATTTAAAAATTTGTTAAGGTCTACACTTTATTAGTACTTTCTCTTACGTTTTTTTCAGATAAGAAAAGAAATGCTTACCTAACAACACAACCCACGCCCAGCCATGATCGACAGAGTTAAGGCATGCTTTGTTTCCCTCTTCTCTGGAGTTTGTTGTAATTTCCATCGAATTGAAAGTACCTGGCTGACATTTTGATTGAGTCTCCACGGTGCCATCTGTGTTATGGACGTGTATTTTCCGATCATTATTTTTTTCAGTTTGTTCATTGTCTGTGTAATCCAACACGGTGAATACATACGCATTATTATCATATCCGTTGGTGAATTCGAGAGTCATGTTCGTCAGTTATTGATGCGTTTCCAAAATATACCGCAATTTCTTTCAAGCTTTATATGGTGTTTCCTTCGGTAGTACCTGGAACTTGAAAGGTAATTTAAAATGACGTAAATAACAATTCCTAAACATGTTATCTGTAATCATCAAACATATACTTGATACTAGAATTCCCCCGGTGGATAGAGGTTTCGGTAGAGGTCCTCGATCCAATACTGACGAAATCATTCGCCTGTCTCAAGAAAATAACCTTATACGCTCACCAGAGCCGAAACCAATATCAATTTCAGACAATATTCATTGCTTAATTGTGTTGGTCCTGTTAGCAACAAAGCAACCAGTGGAGTGGCTATTTTGGTTGACAACCAAATTCCTCATAGAAGCATACAACGAAATACAGATCTCCAGGAAACTGCTGTTAGTGTAATGCTCCATAGAACGCTTACAGTATTCTCCATCTATCCCCTTCCAAAATCTGATTTTACAAACAACCAACTAGACGAACTCCTGTCGCAAATGTCTCCCCCGTCTTCCTACTTTTGGATGACTTTAATGGTCATAACAAAATTTGAGGTTCACCCGACACTATTGACAGAAGAACAAAAATTTTAAAAATTATGTTTGAAAATTAACTTTCTCTTTACCATTATAAATCTCAGCTTATTGGCATCCCTCTTCCAAAACATTTTCGCACCTTGATTTAACTTTGTCTCCCATCGTTGTTACTCGATTTGTGTCACTGGAAGCGACCACTTTCCAACATTTATATTGATAACCAACTAAGCAAGCACGTCATCCTATTTGTTTTGGTTTCGAGTTAAAGTGGGTATATACGATGCACGTGGTCATTAATTTTCTTGATGATTTAGAGGATCAGATGTTATCAATTTCAACCAGATGTCATGTGTCTAGCATTGAATCTCGATGTTCCATCAACATTTTACACTTGTCTGCCGATAGGTTTGTTACATTTAAGATAAATAAAGCAATTCGATGTTTCTGTAAAGAAGAACCCCAAACTACATGTTGCAAAATTTGTGTTGATAGAACAACGAGCAAGGAAGATGATCACACTTAATCATGTTGGTCAAATGAAAAACGTCATCGGTGGATTGATCGCGAAATCGAATATCAACAAAATCTGACGGCTCGAGCGAATTTCATTAAAACAACACGTTGGTCATATGACTTTCCGGATATGGGAATGAATTTCTAAATAAATCTTAAAATATCAAGATGTTTTGTATATGGATGATTTCAGATATATAGAGTAACCACACTGAATCATTTTGTATTTGTATATTCTTCGGACTTTTACATCCAATACGCGTTTGGAATATTACTATCGACTTTGGCCGAAGTGCGTAATTTTACAATTTTGTTTTTTCCGTTTGTCAGGTTGGTCCAATTCAAGACGAAATTTAGACAACACATGAAGTGTAGCATTGACTTTATTTTCAACGTAGTTTTGTAATATACACCGGATCATTGTTAAAACTTCGTTTTTTTTATATCATTTTCAAAGAAAATCTAAAATTACACACGCCACGGCTTATATTGAGCACATTTTTTCCAACATAAAAATATACTACCTGAACAATAATTGTTACATCAGAAAACTGGACCATTGATTTGTAAGTAGAACACATATTCCAACTATATGTAACAATTAAATTTTTACTGTTTCCCGGGGCTGATAATGTCGTTTACTAGATCTACGTATTTCATCAGATTTCTATTCATTCTCGCACCTCAGACAAGGATATCACACGTGTTACCCCATCTTAGATATACGCATATATATCGGTTTCAGGTTTACTGTGTTATATTATCTGATCATATTCCAGATGTTGTAGATCTCCACTGTAAAATATGTTGTAATATGTGTAACTGCGGTCTACATTATTTACTCGACACTGTCCAAACGTTGTTTAAAAGTGAAGAGACTGTGTGGGTAGTTTGCGGCTTCTACGAGATGAAATATTGAATAATTATCAAAGAAGTAGATGCGAGAAAAACATTATCACCTGTAACTTAGCGTGATTGTTGTATCTCAGTCTCGGGCTAAGATCATGTAACATCCTAACTTCGGCGTTAGTATCTCTGTTTCGGGTAACGGCGATGTTAGGATGTTACGCGACTTAGAGGCATCATATTGTATTATTGACGTAAGTAACTTTAAACATACAAGGCTCGTTCTTATTCATTCACTCTGCGTTGAAGTATACCCTTACTAAAGATTAAAGAATACTAAAAGGAAAGTATTTAAGTTTTAATGTATTGGAGTTGCCGGTTTGTTCCATATTTATTTTTTATTTGCAATATTTTATAGCACGTCCACGGTTGTATCATTGTGTTTGTTATTGTTTTAGGAGAGGACATGCATAGATTTTGCCGGTTGTCCAATACTTCTGTCGTTTTGTGAATAAAACATTACAATTGGTACTACATGCTAACAATCAATGTGATATGTTAATAAATTATTAAGAAGGCGTACTACATTGAATATTATTCTGCTGACAGGAAAGGTGAGATGTTTATCAGAAAGATAGTTAATGAACGTTAAATGGCGGAATCAAATACTGCATATTTAAATTATGTTTTTTCCAAATAAATGGATTCTATAAAAGGTTTAATTAGTCACAAGTTTGATTTTATTATTGATAATTCTTACATTATGTTACTTTCTGATCATGTACATATTGGTTTGAAAAACAAATACTTTATTCCTGGAGTAAAAAACAATTGACTAGGAAAAGACATCCCTCACTGAGACAAATAAATTCTTAACTAAGCGGTTTACGATAACCTAAAATAAATCGCCTGTCGTATGAATCC